CTTGGAATGTCTACTTTCCAAAAAGAGGTCATTTGGGGGGTATTTGTACTGTTCTGGCTTGTAATGCAGGCCATAGTCGGGTCATTTATCGGCCCAATTTTCATCCGCACAAAAAATCGGCCGATAATCACGCCGTTAGTGGGGCCAGCCCGTTGGCCGTTTTTTGCAGATCTCCTCATTTATTTTTATCGGTCATGCTGTAAAATCCACGCAAAACTGTCTGTTTTTCGTAGACATGGGTGGCAGCATCGGTAATGGGCCCACCGATTTTTTTCATTTATCGGCCGAAAATTCCCGTCTATGGCCTGCCTTAGTTTCTCAAAAAATGAGATAGGCCATCAGTACATCAGGTTTGCTCAGGTGTGTTCATTTTTCAATGATTGGTACCATAGATTGTATACTCTATAACTTCCACACAGACCAAATACTGCACACCGATTGGAATTATTTTTACCAAAGCAACGCAGCAGTATACATTTTGGCTCAAATTTATGAAGAAAAATTACTTATTTGCTAAATATTTTAACAGAAACTAAGAAAATGCATTTTTTTTAAATTTTTCGGTCTTTTTTTAATTTACAGCACAAAAATAAAAAACCCAGTGCTAATTAAATACCATGAAAAGAAAGCTCTATTTGTGTGAAAAAAGGACAAAAATGTCAATTGGGTACAGTGTTGCATGACTGAGTAATTAGCATTCAAAGTGTGAGAGCGCTGAAAGCTGAAAATTGGTCTGGGCAGGAAGGGGGTAAAAGTGCCGGTATTGAGGTGGTTAAAGTGGACCTTCACTCTCTCAATCAACATTGACTATTTTTAATTCTTATGCTGCTAGCATTTGTAAATATGATAGGAATGTGCAGTATATGATATTTACTTGTTTTAAACAATTTTTTATGTTTCTTCAGTTACTTTCTGATTTCTTGCCTAGGCAAATTATGTCATATATCCCAGGAGTCTTCTGGAGGGTCGGGTGGCCGTTTTCTCATCTAAGCACATCCTCCTGCTTGTATGCCTGAACTAAGGGCAGATGGATTGCAGAAAGTCAATGCTACATGTATCATCTGTCTTTACTTAAGATGGCCACGGCCAGAAATGCTAGGGGGTGCTTTTACATCCACAATCAGTGTATAAAAAACAAAAAAAAAAATCTTCATCAGAGGAAAGAGAAATGATGGTGTCTGTTTTCAAATATGTAAAATTTCTTAGCAAAATAAAGCATGGAGACACGGATGGATGAGGAAGTTTGCTTTGAATATTAAAAATGAATAAAATTAAATAGCATTTTTGCAAAATGGTGCTCATATGCAGTCATTTAGTTCAGCTTTAAATACACCACTGCATGACCCCCAAAAGAATACCTCTAATTGGAGTAAAAAAGTGGTTATGGTGCCCTGGAAGCAAGATCTCTGCAGTTCCCAAGCTCACTGATATCCCATGAGCAGGGATGAGATAGGTTCGGTCCGAACTCACAAATTAGCTGTACTGCTCGCCCAATGAGCCCCCCAGCTCCGCAGGTGTATGGAACAAAAAAGGCAGAGCCATTTAAGTTCAATGATGTTACAAGCATCCCTACCCCTTGGGGCGGACTGACAGGGGCGGACTGTGACAAACTCAGTGGGGTTCACACCAGGGGCCCTGGGCAATAGGGGATCATGGGGCCCCTGTGTCCTTGCCCACACTCAAAAAAGCCTATAAAAAAGGTATCAGGGGCATTTCATGGGGCCCCCTACTGATCCGAGTGCTGGAATGGTCAGTCCGCCCCTGGTTCACACTGAGTTTGGATCTGAACCCAGGTCAACCCTACCCATAAGTATTCTAAAGGAGTCACACGCACCCTCTTGCATTTATGGCATTAAAGAAAGCTCAGTAGAGTGAGACTTCTTTACTAAAACACATTGGTGGCAGAAACAAGATGGAAACCCAAGAAATATAAAAGCTATAAACATATTTACTCTTTTACAGTTGACAGGTGGCAATTATGAGTCTGGTACCCCAAAAATTCTGATGGCTAGCCTACTACTGTGCTGCACATACAGAGCTCAATAACAGGATCTCAGGTTAAACAGACCCAAACCTGAGTTATCCCTGGTTCACACCAGTACGACTTCAGGCGCAACATGTGATTTACAAATCGCCCCTGAAGTCGCATCTAATGTATTTATATGGCACTTTCTTAATCAGTGCATTTTGAAGTAGCGTGATTCAAAAATCGTTCATGCACCACTTTTTTCAAATTTCATTGCAACTTGCATTGACATCTGTTAAATGAAGTTGTAGGCTACTGTGAAATCTGAGGAACGAATCGCACTGATCTGCAGCTGTGAAATTGCGTTACTTCAAGTGAGATGAATAACTCAGAGGAGGGACACATGCCTTCCTTTTTACCCAAAGAGACAGTACAGTCAGCAACTGCAAAGCTAGTGCTAGGCTTTCTCATTAGATAGCCCTGTATGCACTACATACACTGAAGCATCCTGTATTATATATTTCATTAAAAAAAAAATCTACAGAAGATAAAATAAATTATTTTAAATCAAAACCAAGGGGGCTCCGTATTTTTAGTTACACCTCTCGACAACTAAACCCCCACACTCCTAGCCATCTAAAAAGGAGTTTCCCAGATTTGCTTGGAAATGGTCCATTGCTGTTGAGAAAATATAATTACATATCAAGTAATAATACGCCATTTGTACAACTGAGACGCAGGTGCTGCAAGGCAGATCCCTTGTGTAATAAGTGATAAAGGTTTTTTACTGCCTTGGAGAACAATTAAAAATCTACCCAAGTGGGATGAAACTAGAGGCAATTATATCATGGGTTTTTTTCTATTTATAAAAAATATGTTTCTTGTTGTATGGAAACAAAATGCTTTTCTGGTCAAGTTGGTATTAAAGCGGAGTTTCACTCACTCTGTAAAACAATAAAAGTCAGCAGCTACAAAAACTGTAGCTGCTGACTTTTAAAAAAACAGCCACTTACCTGTCCCAGGATCCCGCGTTGCCCCCGCCGCAGCCCGTTTCACCGGCCGTCCTGTATTCCAGGTGCTGAAATCTTCAGTGTGGGCACCTGGCTGTGATAGATTGCGGCTTCACAGCTGAGTACCCACTGCGCATGTGAGAGTAACGCTGCGCTTCTTGAATGGCCCTGTTGTCTTCTGGTACCTGTCACGAGTCCCACAAGACTTCCGACTAGGTGATTGCAGCGGAAGTGGGAGCGGGTACCCGTCAAATTTGGGGACCCTTTACTCCCCCCCCCGCTCCCCAGAGGTGCCAATCCTTAATGGGGAGTGGGGGTCCAGTCTTTAAAACGGAACTTCCCCTTTTGGGTGGAACTCCACTTTAAGATAGCAATTTATTCAATGGACCCAATATCTTTCCATGCCTGGGTGGTGGACATCTGAGTGCTTGTAGCCTGGGTGCAGTATCTACAATACCAGGGGAATTATGGGAAATTACAGAGGCTATGATCATTCATTAGCTTATTCCTTCAGTGGAGTAGTGTTATGCATCACTCCTCAAAAGGTGGTTTTGGCCAATCATATTTTAAATAAACTGATGGTAATATATTTTAAATCACTGCCATGTTAGCAGAAATGTTTTCACTCCTCTTCGAATCATTCTGCAGCATGGGTAATCGGATCTCCCTTCATCAGCTCTATATCATGCATAGCTGAGCTGGAGAAAACTGCTGCTCTTAGTGGTAGCTCACCAACTGCTGTCTTCAAGTACACACACACACACATATATACACATACATATACACACTCACCAGCAAATTTTTTAGGTACACCTCACTAGTACCAGGGTGGACCCTCTTTGCCTTGCCTTAATTCTTCATGGCATAGATCCAACAAGGTGTTGGAAATAATCCTCAGACATTCTGGTCCATATTGACAAGGAGTTACTGTTGCCTTTCTATACCTCTTACCTCTGACATCGACAAGCATTTTTGCCCACACAACTGCCGCTCACTGGATATTTTCTCTTTTTGGACCATTCAGATCAGCAGTTTTTGAAGTACTCAGACCAGCCCGTCTGGCACCAACACCATGCCATGTTAAAAGTCAATTAAACCCCCTTTCTTTCACATGAACTTTAATGGTATCCCAGTCTTGGTCTGTAGGATTCAATATTGAGTTGGCTCACCCTTTGCAGCTATAACAGCTTCAGTTCTTTTGGGAAGGCTGTCCACAAGGTTTAGGAGTGTGTCTATGGGAAGGTTTGACCATTCTTCCAGAAGCGCATTTGTGAGGTAAGGCACTGATGTAAGATGAGAAGGCCTGGCTTACTGTCTCTGATCTAATTTATCCCAAAGGTGTTCTATTGGGTTGAAGTCAGGACTCTGTGCAGGCCAGTCATGTTCCTTCACCCCAAATTTGCTCATCCATGTCTTTATGGATCTTGCTTTGTGCACTGGTGCGTAGTCATGTTGGAACAGGAAAGGGCCATCCCCAAACTGTTCCCACAAAAGTGGGAGCATGAAATTGTCCAAAATGTCTTGGTATGCTGACGCCATAAGAGTTCACTTCACTGGAACTAAGGAGCCAAGCCCAACCCCTGAATAACAACCCCACACCATAATACCCCTCCACCAAACTTTACACTTGGCACAATGCAGTCAGGCAAGTACGTTCTCTTAGCAACCACCAAACCCAGACACGTCCATTGGATTACCAGACACAGAAGTGTGATTTGTCATTCTAGAGGACACGGCTCCACTGCTCTGGAGTGCAGTGGTGGGGTGCTTTACACCACTGATCAGATGCTTTGCATTGCACTTGGTGATGTAAGGCTTGGATGCAGCTGCTCGGCCATGGAAACCCATTCCATGAAGCTCTCTACACACTATTGTTGTGCTAATCTGAATGCCACACAAGGTTTGGAGGTCTTTAGCTACTGACTGTGTAGACGGTAACTTTTGCGCACTGTGCACTTCAGCATGCACTGACCCCGCTCTGTCATTTTACGTGGCACAGATGGACTTATTGCTCAGGTGGCAACCTATCACGGTACCACGCTTGAATTCACTGAGCTCCTGAGAGCAACCTATTCTTTCACAAATGTTTGTAGAAGTAGTCTGCATGCCTAGGTGCTTGATGTTAGACACCTGTGTTCATGGAGGTGATTGGAACACCTGAATCCAATGATTTGGAGGGGTGTCCCAATACTTTGGGCAATATAGTGTATCACTGCTTCCACACAGAGAATAATGGCCCTTCTTTACAGCATGCTGGCAGGGAACAAGCTTTTCTACTCAGGATGTGGCTGCTTTCTAAAGAAGACAAACTGGAAGATTTTGAACCCCTTTTGTCTTGATGCAGCTGCAACATATTTAGCTGATTTAAATGGAAAATCTAGTTTGACTTTAAAGTGGTGGTAAACTAATTTTTTTATACTTTTACCTTTAGGGGAGCTTATAATATAGCTTACCTGTAGGTAAAATTAATATCTCCGAATCGTACACCGTTTAGGAGATATTCCTCCTTGATTGTAAGCTCCAAGGAGCAGGGCCCTCAAACCCCTCGTGTATCGCATTGTACTGTTGCATGTTCTGCCTCCCATTGTAATGTACAGCGCTGAGCAAACTTTTGGCGTTTTAAAAAATACTGTATAATAATAATAATTCTAGTGAGCGGCAGCCGGTGACATCACCAGCGCATGTGCTCTGAAGTAACGGCATATCCTTCCGTTCTTTCAGAGCTATGTGCCAGCCTTAGCTCCAAGGCACACGTGCAGGAGTGACGTCATCGTGGCTTCAGCCATTTAAGTTGCCGCAGCCTGCGAACCCAGAAGGAAGACCAGGTGAAGATGGAAACCCTGTAGCAGTGACAGAGTGCCACTGGAGGGCTTCATTCTCAGGTACAGTATGTCTTTCATGATGTGCTAGTATGCGATGCATACTAGGGCATTATGACATTACCTTGCAGGGGAATTGTTTTTTTTTTTTTTCTTTAGGATTACCACCATTTTTAATGCTGACAACAAAAGTGACAACTAGAGATGAGCGAAGTATTCAAAAATTCGATTCGACTGATTCGGCGAATTCGTGGAAAAATTTCGATTCGAGTCGAATATATTCGCTGCGAATTTAACTTATAAAAGGGTGTTTCTAGGCTTCAGAGAGCCTTTATATTATTGCAGAACACTGTACCTTTAATTTAAATGCCCTTGGAGTCTGCTGGGGAAGAGAAATAATACTGACAGTCAGTATGACATGCAGATGAGTGCCGTCGATCTTAGAATCACCGCACACTTCACTCATTTGGGCAGTCACGGGGCCAAAAACCAGAGTGTGGAGCCACAGTGTGGCGGTGGAGGCAGCAGCAATGGGAGGCCATACAGCACCCTATGACAAAAATGGAAACCACCAGCAGTGTGAGGAGACCTGAAAGTGGCACATGGCAGAGTGTGGCGATGGAGACAGCAGCAATGGGAGGCCGTACAGGGACCCATGAGAGACTCTGGACCTGGCAGCAGCATGAGGAGGCGGTACAGGGGCCCATGACAGATTACGGGCCTGGCAGCAGCATGAGGAGTTGGTACGGGGGCCCATGGCAGATTACGGGCCTGGCAGCAGCAATGGGAGGCCGTACAGGGACCCATGACACACTCTGGACCTGGCAGCAGCATGAGGAGGCGGTACAGGGGCCCATGACAGATTACGGGCCTGGCAGCAGCATGAGGAGTCGGTACAGGGGCCCATGACACACTCTGGACCTGGCAGCAGCATGAGGAGGCGGTACAGGGGCGCATGACAGATTACGAGCCCGGCAGCAGCAACTTGGACAGGAGGACGTTCAGCTTCTGCACCGTCGGGTGCGTGCTCGCAAACTGTTGTCTCTTGGAAACGGATTCCAAGAAAGACTGCTGACGGAATCCGTGAAGAGGCAGTAGCAGGAGAAGGAGCATCTGAACGAGCGGAATATGCCAACAAGCGACAACAGGGGCCCATGACAGATTACGGGCCAGGGGCCTGGCAGCAGCTATGGGAGGCCCGTAATCTGCCAGCACCCTATGACAAAAATGGAACCCACCAGCAGTGTGAGGTGACCTGAAAGTGGCACATGGGCAGAGTGTGGCGATGGAGACAGCAGCAATGGGAGGCCGTTACAGGGACCATTGAGAGACACTGTGGACCTGGCAGCAGCATGAGGAGGCGGTACTGGGGGCCCATGGCAGTTACGGGCCCTGGCAGCAGCAATGGGCAGGCCGTAAATCTGCCAGCACCCTATGACAAAAAAATGGCGAACACACAGCAGTTTGTGTGAGGAGACCTGAAAAGTGGCACATGGCAGAGTGTGGCGATGGAGACAGCAGCAATTGGGAGGCGTACAGGGACCCATGAGAGACTTCTCTGAGACCTGGCAGCAGCATGAGGAGGCGGTAACAGGGGGCAGACAGTGGGGCCTGGCAGCAGCTATGGAGTGGCCGTCATCTGCTAGACCCTATGACAAAAAAGCTGAAACCCGCACACCAGCAGTGTGTGAGGAGACCTGAAAGCAGCACACAGTGTGGCGATGGAGACGAACTGTGGGACTGCCGTATCAGGGACCCATGAGACACTCTGGACCTGGCAGCAGCATGAGGAGGCGGTACAAAGGGGCCCATGGCAGATTAGGGGCCTGGCAGCAGCTATAGGAGGACGTAATCTGCCAGCACCCTATGACAAAAAATTGGAACACACAGCAGTGTGAGAGGAGACCTGAAAGTGGCACATGGCATGTGACAGTGTGGCGCTGGAGACAGCAGCAATGGGAGAGCCGTACATGGGACCCATGAGAAGGACTCTGGACCTGGCAGCAGCTCATGCAGGAGGCGGTATAAGGTGGCCCCATGTGCAGATTAGGGGCCTGGCAGCAGCTATGGGAGGCCCGTCCGTAATCCTGCAAGCAACCGGCTATGACAATAAAAAAATGAGAAACACAAACACCAGTCTGTGGTTAGGGAGACCTGAAAGTGGCACAATGGCCCTGAGACACTGCTGGACCTCTGGCATAGCAGCAATGAGGAGGCGGTACAGGGGCCCATGGCAGATTTAGGGGCATGGCAGCAGCTATGGGAGGCCCGTACATCTGCCGCACCCTATGACAAAAAATGGAACACACCCGCCCGGGGTGGGGGGGAGACCGGGAAAATGGCAAAATGGCAGAGTGTGGCGATGGAGACAGCAGCAATGGGGGGCCCTACAGGGACCCATGAGAAAATTGGACCCGGGAGCAGCATGGGGGAGGGGGGTATAAAGGGGGCCCCTAGCAGATTAGGGGCCTGGCGCAGCATGGGA